CTGGAGAAGTCCGCGTATCTTCGCTCAGATCTTGCTGGCCGTCACAGAGATCCATTTCAGACCTAGATCCATAGGAATGTGGGTTGTAACTCGTAGTGAGTTTAGGATCAATTGTGCCTGAAGAGGACATGAGTGCCATTCAACAAAGGCTCCTTTGGCCACACGCGGTACCTTGGCTAATGCTGAGGGCACTGTCAAGATATCCAGAACCAGTCGAATGAGGCGCAAAATGCCCACTAGGGCTAACATTGGGTGAGTGGGACATGAAAAAACGAGATATTTGGTCCGTTTCTTGTACTAAAAGCGCAGATTTTCAGGATTAAACGCGACTGTCGAACTGTGTGAGTTCCCCCGATACTCACTAGTGTTGAAATTGTAGGCACGAACGCGGGTGATAATGTCAAAAATTTGTAGTTAGGTCTAAAAGTGCGGGAACCGTGTTCCACGCCGTGAGGCACGAGCATTGTAGGACGGTTGAGGAAAGGTAGACGTTCCCTCCCTGATAGAGGCAGTAGATTGAGACTAGGTGCCCGAAAGTTGGAGCAAAAAGGTTTTAAAGATTGATATGAGAAGATTTATGAAGTAAAATTTCCTACCTTTCGTCCTCCATTGGCTACTAGCGAAGTGTCTCGGTAGCTATGGATATTTGGGCGAGATATGGGTCATTACCAGAGATAATCTATATATAATGCGACTTGAAGAGTATATTTCACAATATTTCGTCGAATAGAAGCGTGAAACTCTTGATGGGGGCTAGGTGGGTGTCGTCACCCAAATCGCAAGGTCCTACCCAAGTTTTGGTTTCCACTGCAAATATATCGTTCGTGTGATTAGCTGATTAAAAATCCAATGGATATAGGGGATGACGAGATACCCACTGATGAACCAGGGCTCTTGGGATACGATAGATTGGTAGCACCTCTTCTTCCTCTAACTGATGCGGACAGACTCTGAGACAGAGCGTCTGAGCCCCTTGCGAGATGGTGGTCATGATACATGATCAAAGCAGTTTCTAAGCCTGTGTTGGACTGCGGTGGGGCGAAAGTTTGACTGCCTCATTAGGTGGCCAGGGGTCTTTAACCTGCCACACAAAGCAGGCTCCCTCCAGCCTCATAGGAGAGGCCATTGGGATACCACAAGGATGTGCGACTTTCGAATAGATAAGATGAGCAGTACAACGTCGTTGGGTAGGACAGAGCGTTGTTGCCGAGTTGAATGAGGACCGAAATCATGAGCAAACCTCCATGCTATGGGTAATTTATGAGTGAAGTATCCTGTCCTTATACGTGCATTTCCGCGTCATTGACATATCGCCTCTGGTGGAGTGTCACCGTCTGAGGAGGTTGGCAAAGACTACTCGATGAGGTGCAGAGTTGATAAGAATACGATCGAATAGAATGAGTAACCGATAATGAATAAAGAATGATGGTTATTGGGATGATTAGCTATTCCTTTAAACCGCTCGGCTTGAAACTTGGATTACCGTTCGCTGTAGCCTCATGTTCTGTAACCGCATCCTTTGAGATAACTGTACTAAAGCGCAGATCTTGGATGTGAGATCACCTCAAGTGAGCCCAAAACGCTCTGTAATGAAGCTGACTAGTGTGCAACTTTTTTGGTGAATGTCGGC